GGGGGGGGGGGAGGGGGGAATGTGTGAAACCTAATATTCATCCCTTGAATTATATTCACATCAGGACTGGATGCCTTTGTACATACTGATTTATCCCCAGTAAACTGGGCTGAGTCTGGAAGAAGAGGGTGAGGTTGTTTGCCCACTGTAGTAAATGATACCAGAAAAGAGGGATACAGCAGCATTCCTTTTAGCAAGTGAGTTAAAGAGTGCTCAGGGTAATGATGAACCACTTTCTACCAAGCCAATATCTGAAGCTGAAAAAACAGCCAGTCATTCCTTGGCTCTGCAGCAGTCTTGGAGGCTGTTATAAACAAACAGAAGCAGGGAACAAAAAATCTCCTTTGGGATACAGCTAGCCTGAAACAGATATCCATGGTGAGACACTGTTGGATAGAAGAGGTAGAAAAAGACAGCATCATGACAATGAAGACATTTCTACACCTGTTCATTAAAGATTTAGTGCAGAGAGAGTATATGCATGTGGAAACATGGCCCTCTACCATATTGTCTGAACAGAGAGTAGTGCTGCCAAGCATCTTCCTATGTGTAGTTTTGTAGTTTTTGCCACAGTTGCTAAAGCTATCAAGGCTTCTTTGTGTGGTCAGGATTTCTCCCAAGAACCTGGAAAGGTTGCAGTATTGAACACTTATGGACATGTCCCGGTTTTCCTCCCTCTTCATCCCATCTTTAAACCTCACTACAGGCATATTGTGCACTCACAAGCTTCCAATCTATCCAAGCAAGGGGTCCACAATTAATTGTGGGAGGCAGATAATGGCCACTGCATACACTAGCTATGTGCAGGACTCTAGGACCAAACTGGGTCCAGAATAATTGCAATGATGGACAAATCTGCCCTCGCCCACCACAGCTGTATTTCTGGACTGAAAATATGGAAGAGAAGCTGCTATTTGAAATTTCACTCAGCTTGGCTAACAGCCCAATTCTGCAGACTTGGAAGATTTTCTATCATAATATTTCTCTGAAGCTAGCTGTGAGAATAAATGGCATGAGGTATGTTTGGCTCAAGAGCTGAGAGTTTAAAATTTTTGAAGAATCTTTTCTTGTTTGTTATGGAGCAAATCCTAAACTTCTTACTTAGAAGTCCAGGTTCCCTGCTGCTATGGGGCCCCATCAGAACATCTTGACTAAAAGGGAGAAATGCCCTCCTTAGTGAATACTTACTAGTAACATTTCTACTCTCAGCTGTACTAATTATTTTGGCAAAAGTAATTTCACAGTGGACAAGGCAGATTGATGTAGGAAGGCAGATAGTCCTAGGAAGGCAGAGAGGACAAGTGGTGCTAAATATGGTGAAACTACTCTTTACTTATATGGCAGCCAACTAAGACTCTGGGCAAGACTGCAATGCTGAGAAGACGCAGATCATGAAGTGGAATGAACCACTTATCTTGGGTTCTGCTAGAAACGCATGGAATAAGTCAAAGTAGATTTTTTTCACAATATCTACTGTATATTTTGCTCCAACCTGCCCAGTGAGAAGTTATGAATCATCTTGAGCACTACTTCTTTTGGAGCAATAGAAATTTCTGGTATCCTTGATCCCACCTAGCACTTGGAGAGAGGTTCAGACATACTGATATTAGTAGATCCTTCAAGATTTGGAGTGGTCAGTTGAATATCCTGTTATTATCACACATCTCATAAGAAAGCATTAAGGATAAACTTCTGATCTGTGAATTTACAGTGTTTTTATTCTTTGTGGGCAATGCCATTAGTAGACAAAGTAATGCCATAAGCATAGCTTACAAGATGGGCAACTCTGCAGACACAGCACAAAGATCTGAAGGGATCCTCTTCTAGATATGCAAGATATACAGACCAAGAGCCCTGTATGGTTGTGCCAAAATTCCAGGCCCTAAAAGCACCGTACCAAAATTTCAGAGGCATGAGACACATACCAGATGCTCTCAAAGCTGAGGAAGGAGAGAGGGAGATTTCTAGGAGACACCCAAACAATGGAAATCTGGTGGCTTTGCCTAAGATGTGTTCTGACAGCGTCTGTCACAGGGCACCCCAAAAGCACAGCATCCGCAATGAAAAAACAGTCCCTTTTCATGAGTCATGGGACAGAGTTGTGCTACAAGAGCTTGCTACCCTCATGGCTCTTAAAAGTCATAGCTGTCTACCCTTGGACACTGTAACACCCTCTCACGTTTTTAGGGTGGCTGCAGCTCCTGTTTAGAAGGCCCACTGTGTGAAGTGCACACTTTTAGAAGCTATAGGAATGTCAGGATACATTCTTGTTCTAGCAAGAAGCACACTATAAAAAATTTCTTCTGTAAGCAGTCAAAATTTCCAGCCATAGCTAAGGTTCTTTGTTTCAATAAAAATCAGTGTTGTTGCAGTAATGTAGTAATTACATTCTGGGTTACTGTTTTCACAAATTATCTGGTTTAATGAACAAAGCAAAACCAACTTTGACTATTTTGTTCTCAAATTCCATCCGAGTACGCAGTTTCTACAGACCATCTCAGGAAATTTTGGACTATTTCCTACTTCCTGACTTATCCACTGTGCAAAGCAGCATTTTTAGTCTTATTTATTTATGAAGTGAACGGAGGGAAAAATTTGAAATTGATGTAGCATTTTTTTCTCCTCCTTACAGATTGCAGTTTTCATAGGTGTGTTTGAGTTGGAGACTATTTAAAATTTTCAGATTTGAGGATGGATCACAAGCAAATGTTTTGTGGAAGTCATTGTCTGTGT